AGTGTGGGATATTCAAAAGGTGCTAAATATAACTAAGGCTGCCAATACGAGAACAAAAGCGCATAAGGTGAACAACATCAAAGGCATCTGATTCACCAAGGATAATATCGAGGGACAGGTGACCGCGAGGGACAGTCGGGAAGCAAGACATATGCACATCCTGGAAGTCAGGACATTCAACAAGGATATGCATGACTGTAAGAGGGACAACGCAGTTTGGACATTAAGGAGTAGGGCGGTGCTCCATTAAGTGCTTGATACCTGCTGATACCTTACCTTACCTGCTGTGCCCGCGAGTTAAACAGGTATGGCCAATATGCAACCTCGCCAGAGCAGTTTCCCACTGCCGATTACGGTGGTAGGAGGAAGGCCATGGGGACACACTAGCCTTTAGAGCATGCAGCTTGTTACCAGTAACTGAAGACCAGCAATCCTGCCACTGGGCATGGATAGAGGAATGAATAACAGGGTGGAAGTTGAAATAAGGAACACTTTTGCAGGAAATGGCTCAAGTACAGATACTGTAGTCTCCTTCAAGGCAGCATCCGCATGCTCATTTAAGGAAACACTAATATGGCTGGGAACCCAGCAAAACTCAACTCTTAAATCTGCTGGAGATAAGAAACAGCCAATATTGAATTTCAACGACCACAAGATGGACAGGATTAAAAGACTCCAGAGCCATGAGGGCACTGCGAGAGTCAACTACAACAACAAAGGAAGAATTACGGCGAGAAAGCAGCTGACAAAGGGCAAACAAAATTGCATAAAGTTCAGCCGTGACGATGCTAGTCTCCGGAGGCAGGCAACACATATAGGTGCAGTCAGGAAACGGAGTAGCCTACACTGCCAGCAGACTTAGACCCATCTTTGAGGATGGAGATGGAGTGTAAAGAAAAGTGAGCAAGGAAAAGGCATTTTAGAACTGTAGGGGGGTAAAAGCCTTAGTCATGTAGGTCAAGGGTCTTCAAAACTTAGGATGAGGGACCTTCCACGGGGTCAAAGACAGAATGACACGAGGAGAAACATTGGTAACACGAACCGAGAGAGAACCTTGCAAGCGAGACAACCATATAGAGAGGGGAAGGTGGTGAAAAGGAACAGGGCCCCCAGGAGAGGTAATGGTCAAAGTACGATATAAACAAGAGTGAGGGTGTTGTAGGGACTGCGCAAAGTAGCGAAGACAGTAGCGATCATGGCGATCCTGTAGAGACAGGATGCTGATTTCAACATACAGGCTCTGGGTAGGGGTCGAACGAAAGGCACCAGAGCAAAGACGAAGTCCAGTATGGTGAAGAACATCAAGACTACAAAGGGTAAAGGGAGAGGCAGACGAGTAAGCAGGACAGCCATACTCGAGTTTAGACAGCACGAGAAAGGAATGTAAAGAGAGAAGCGTGCTCCTATCAGCTCCGACCAGGACGAGCACCAAGCATCGGCTCCTGGAGACAAACACAAAGCAGGGAAAACTGTGCTATCAAAAGTTTGAGTTCATGGAAGTTGGAATAAAAACCACGAATATTTAATTGAAGAGGAGACAGACAAGAAGAGAGAAAACAGAAACAGATAACATGGGAGAAACAAAGGCAAAATAGAACACAAAAGATTAAGGAAGAACAAGATCAGGATCAGTGAAATCAGGGTGACTGGGCAAAGGCAAAGCTAGCAAAGATAACTAATGATAACAAGGGAGCTAGAGGGGGGGGACCAGAGGCGAATGGACCGAGTCCGGAGTGGGAGGAGGCAATGGAGAGGGGTGGTCAAGGGAATTGGGGGCAGGAAGGACAGAAACAGTTCAGGGCACTGGAGCAAAGGCAGCATCCAAAAGAGGATCAAGGACCAAGGAAACCTCCATAGTGGGGACAGGTGACCCTGCCACTGAAAAGGAAGGGGAAGTAGGGATATGGTCGGAGTCGGAAGATGAGGAATACATCAAAGCCTTCTTACCTGCTGGGGAGGAAGGAGGAGAGGAGCCAGGCTTACACTTCTGACGTAGAGACACAGGTGTCCCATCAGCAATATACTGGGCAACCGTCTGAACAGTTTCAACACGAGAAGGAAAACGGGAACGGTCAACATGATGAATGCTGGAAGGAGGATGGACAATGGGAGAACAGACAGGCAGTGAGGAGGGCCAAGAGACAGAAGAAAGGGCTGAAAGGAGGAGGAGGGGCACAGGAGACAAGGAAGATGGGAAGAAAGGAAGGAAACACCAGACGGAGAACCAGGAGGAGGACCCTCTGGCCTAGAATGCAAAGGAGCAGACGAGGTGGTGGTGGTGGTGTCGGGGGTCCAAAGCGTTGAAACGGTTGCGAAACTGGGAAAGCAGGAGAGGGCGAGAAGGGGGAACACAACACACGAGCATAAGACATGCCAGAGAAAGAGGGAAGATGGCGAACCTGGCACCTAGCCTCAGGAAAAGACAAATGATCACGATGCTTCAAATTGAGGATGGCGTCCTCAAATTTGTAATGCACACATACACGGGAGAAGGCAGGGTGGGCACCACTGCAATTGAGGCAAAAAGTTTGGGAAAGACATGCCGTCTCAAAACGACCCGAGGTTCCATATAAGGGGCAGAGAGAGACCTCACTTGTGCACCTGAAGGGACCATGCCCAAATCTCCAGCACCTGCTGCAGAGGCGAGGGAGGGGATGTACTCCTGAACGAAGCATCTGGAACCAGCAAGAATGACTGAAGAGGGAAGGGACCTACTATCAAACGTGACCTTCACAATGCGAGGAGGTTAATGGCAATGACCACGAGGGGGGTTGGATACCTGGAGGATAGAATGGCCTTGGGCCTCAGGGATATACTTAATATCCTTGTGGCAGTCTAAGTTCTCTGTCACCAGTTGCAACATGGTGTGGGTGAAGAATTATGCCATTGCTGGCATTGAACCAGGCATTTTTGGAGATCCGAACAGGGGGTCTCCCCAATGCAGGACAACAAAGCCAAGCGGGCAGCCACTTCCTGAGAAGGGGATACAACACGGGTATCGGTACTGGCGGAGTTAAGGGTGACCAACGTTTCCACCGAATCAACAAGGTGCTTATGAAGAAATAAATCATCAGGACAAGTAGGGTCAACATGACCAAGATCAAAATACTTAGCCCATGTAGCAGGACCAAGCAAAGCCTGGAAAAAAAGGAGATTGGGAAGGAGTCAAGTGCGAGTGAGTGCGGACGTGACGCTGCCGAGCACCCCCAGTAAGAGAGGGGGTAAAAGACGCAGTTGTGATGACTAGAGACCGAGCTACACCAGGTGATGAAGTCATCACTACTGGGGGCTTGGGACTCAACTCTGCCACAGAGGTGGGAGAGGAGCAGTGTGTGTCAGTCGGGAGAGTCTGAGCAGGAAGGAACATGGTCAGGGCCAAATGTGGCGGGGGCTACAGAGCCAAGTCTTCCAGCAGAGTCCGACTCAGGGGCCTGGTCGCCTTCCCCACAAGTCTGAGAGGGTAAAGGAGGGTCCGAAACAAGCATAAGACGAATAAGAAACAAAATTTATCCATGAATAAGCCCCCATACCCACCATGGAGCCACAATTAGAAGATAGGCCACCCGACAAGACAGGGACCCTAGGGGTACATTGTGGGTATACGCCGTGCAATTGTCACCTTAAAGACTCATATGCGCAGAGCGCCTAAAAGTTGTACTCTTTTTTTTATTTAGGCTATATTTAATGTTTAAGTTTTCATCACTGTGATTTGAAATGAAAATGGTGGCATTTGGAAACATTTTGACATTAACTTTACCTAAACATTTATAAAAACATAAATATGTTCTTAATTGCGCCATGCAGTTTTTACCAAAAACACGTGCGAAGTGCAGTGTTACCCGCCAAACACACATCGAAACTATGACATTGGTACAACGTTCCAACAAGTTTTAAACCTAACCAGTTATAACAACCAATATAGCAAGTTGTAACAACGTTCTAATACGTCATATACACGTTAAGCCAAGATGTAACAACTTCATTACAAGTTGTAACAAGCAGAAAATAGAGACAGTTTCAGTTTTTGTTTCCAGGGTAAGAACTGTCAGTCTGTCGAGATCGGGTTTAGCAACAAAGGCAAAGATTGACAATAAAAGCTCCTGGGACTGACAGAAGCTTTTATTGTCAATCTTTAACCTTGACAATTAAAGCTTAAAGGACAATAAATGGGCAGAGTTTCTTTCAACCTGAAACCCCTATTACCTAACAGTAAATAGGTACCTGGGAGTTAGACAGCTGCTTCCTGGGTATGTGTAACAATCAGGAGGCCTGGTTGAGGACTGGACCGCGGGGACACTAAGCCCCGAAATCATCTCGAGATAACCTTCTCCTTGCTCGAAAGGTCGGGTGAGTGTGTGCACCTCCCCAAACACCCGGGCATCAAAACAGAAGACATTGGAAAGAATAATCAAGGCAAAAAAGTCAGCAGGAAGTGACAATCAGAAAGGAGAAGAGGGGAGAGGAAAAGAGAATCATAAGGAAGAGGAAAAAGTCATCAGCACAACTTGTGAAGATGGTAGCAGGAGCATTAAGGCTTCAAAAAGAAATTAAATAATTAGCTTATGTCCACTTTGTATTCAAGCTGTGACCTTAATATTTATTTCTCCACCCAACCACTTGGCCTGGTTGGTACAGTGCTGCCTTGTTTCTTGTAGGTCTGCATTCAATCCCTGATAGTCCAAGTGTTTGGGCACCATTCCTTCCCTCTATCCTACCCCAGACCCCATGTCCTCATCTCCCTTCTGAATGCTATGCAACTGTATTGGCTTAGCACTCTCCTGACAAGTACCTTACCTCCTCTTGCAAGAGCCTTACCATAAATACTTGCTAAAATCTGAAATATTTCCAATGATTGAATAGGCAAAATCTGTTTATGTATTTTCATCCAAATGTCCATGTGGACTTCATTCTACAGCTTTTCTCACTGCAATAATTCTCTTGTTCATTGTCATTCTTCACATTTTTATTACACCATAATATTCTTGGAAAATAACAAAACATTATCCATAAATACTAGCTCCCATTTTATTTTTTTCTTGTATATCACAAAAGCAATTGATGCATTATACAAATAATATATGTAAGAATAATGTGCTAATAATAAATCTTTAATATTCTCTTTCAACAAGAGATCTCTGACTGAGGCAATATCCACTTGCAATTAAATATTGCTGCTGGAACTACAACTGCCATTATTTGATGTCTAATATTTGGCATTGAACTGATCATTAAGGAAATTGTATGTGCTAATTTCTTTTTAACACTAAAATCAAAGGACTGTACCTAAAAATTGCCAATCACTCTTTTTATTTATAAAGTTCATGTAAAGCCAGACTTTAAAATAATAGGAGACAGATCTCCTCATATAAAGCTTCAACAACAGTATCTTCAATCATCTCATTCAAACAATAAACTATTAGTCTAACACTGCAGTTCATCCTCATTAATTCTGAGCCTATGTCATGTATGACAGCCTTATTCTGGACCACCAGATACATATCTGGCAATTGGTTTCATTATGGTTGGTGATAACCAATTAGATCCTTAAATAAAGCAGAGGAGTGCAGAGTTAATAAGGTTGAACTGTAACATTGGTCACCATACACCCCTATCATGGGAATATGTACAGATGAAGTCCCTAAACAAGGTGTACTATTATTTCTACGAGCTGATGGCTGCTCTATTCTCTTTAACCCAGAGCAGTCACCTTCTCTATTCTGCCCTAAAAGGGCTCTTGGCTGCTCTAATTTTCTACGTCTTCAGTTTTATCACAAGCAGGCAAACTATTTCCTGGCAAGGGCAATCATTCTAATGTACTTTTAAAACCATTTTATACCAGAAAAGTGACACAATGATTCTCATAAAAAGAAAATGTGTTAAAATGGTTGTTCTCAACATTATCTGATATTTGAGAACATTATTTAAGTTGGTAGAAGGGTGCAATGAATGCAGCACTATATGGACCTGAATGATCCCCCAACAGAAAATTAGATACAAATTTAATAAAATTTATGTATTTTTCTCAATGTTCTCTGCAATTTCTCTTACCTTCAGTCAAGATTGGCAACATCTTCAGTTGGCATCAACAGCATTGACTTGGTAATTCACACACATCATCTTACAATGAAAAGATATTAACTGTTAGAATATCTAACAGCTGAGAATGTTTTACAAATCCAGAGATGTAACTGGGTAAAATGCAACGTGCCCTCACACAGCACCACACACACTCACGTCCTCCTGGGGAAAACCATTTTCCCAAAACAATAAATATTTACAGTAATAACTCCAAGTATTTGAATATGGAGCTCAGTGAATGAAAACTCAAGTGTGTTATCCTAATACATCCAACTTGGAATTCACTTGTATTTAATTCATGACCAAGCTTAATAGATACATTAGCCTACATACAACAAAGTAACTAATACCATCACATGAAGCACACGTATTGGCTTCATTTATTTGTTGACAAAAATATATTATAAACACTGAAATTTCTGTAAAAGTAACTTAAGATGAAGCCAGGAGCTTCTTTGAGCAGTTATTAAATTAAAAATCATAAGAGTATGAATAATAATCTTGCCATTTTTAAATCCTAAAATATACAACAAAATATTTTATGAGGAAGTTGCAGAGATGAATTGCAACTTTTAGAGGTTCCATGGAAGATAATTTGTAATCTATGCTCCTCATAAGGTTCAAGTACGAAAAATAAAAAATGAACTTATGGAGGTTGAGGATAGCATTATCTTGTGGTGACCCACTGGAGTTTGGCTGGCAACACGTGTGGGAGCAGGGACGGCTGGCCACATACAAGGGATCAACAATCACTATGTTGCTCTCAGATTCAGGCTCTTATGTACTGCAATAACAAACCAATATACCAGTATAGAAAATTAGATTTTCGTATAACGAAAAACGTTGTAAACGTCTTGATGACTCGGGAGACATTTCCATTTGATAATATACAAAATTTAATTTTAACAATACATAAAATTTCTCAACTGAAACACACACGAAGTAAATGATATTATTCACAACTAAGCTGGTTAAAGGGTTAAACTTAAGAGAAAACAAAATTATTAAAAATTTAGTTCAGTAAATATTTTGGTGTGAATGAAGTATATTAAAAAGTATAGAAATTAATATTTTAATTACTCTTTCTATGCTTATTTAATGTATTACAAACCTTCCATGCTTCAAAAATTTCAGTTTTCTATTGCCAGTAGTTGATAACATCTCACTCATGATGACAAAGCCTACACATACACAAACTCCTTCAACATATGTGAATGAAGCTGCTGGGTCTTGAGTTAAAACCCCAAATAGATGTTAATATCTAGATATAATGTAATTTAAATGTTAATATGTCCAATTACCCATCAATACATTTGATATTAAATATATAACAAATATAAGGAGTAGCTGAACAAGATGCAATAATCTGAACACTTTTTTTTATGTTTAATATTCTTTTAATTTACAATTGCCAGTTCAGTGCACTTTATGAATTTTAGTCTTTACTCTAATTCTGAACATTATTTTTCAAAAATTTTGTACTGCAATACAAGTCTAAAATAACACTTAAAATAGAGGTCAGTTAAAGACATGTCGTAGATATTTCAATGATATAACTAACATAATACAAGATGCCATGTTTAATTTTCACTCCATACTACAGTAGTCTTGAAACAAATGTCATAAACCACACCACATGGACAACGATTTATTTTACAATCTGGCATTTAATATATATTTTATATTTATGCAAAAAATGCCCAAAAATATAATAAAATAATTGTAAATAAAGTCTCCCCTGATAGGGATGCCTAACAATAATCCACACCTCAAAATAAGTGAATGCAGCAGACTGGCCTATAGGAAGTGGCAAATATATTATAAGTGCATATCATACTGTATATACATATAAATTTATGCAGATTCCAGTTGTTATCTCTAGTGACAAATAGGAAATTTACACAAGGGAATCCAAAAATATATTCTAAATATACATGCAAACAAGTAACAACTCTAAAAATAAAGTGAAAATCATCAGTATGTAAAAAGAGATGATTACATTATTACCTTTGTTAAGTACAGAATGTGTGTTATGGGACGCATTACCTGCATTATGGACATATATTCTGTCTACGTTGAGTTGTTGTGAATAAAAACAAAAAATATATACAGTATACTGTATTTGGAAGAGTTAGGTACTATTTGCAATACAGTACTTGCATGGTCACACTCTTATCTACTGCCTATTTCAAAATTTTTAAAGCACATCAAAGTATGGTAATGGAAATTGCTAGTGAACTATCTGCAGATATTTAATATTATTTGTTAATGAAAATGAATGTGCTTGCAGTTATTACTGTTTGAACTATTAAAGTATTGTCATAAATTAACAATGTCTTCACTTAACAAGAAAAAACTCATGACATTTACTTCTACATGTATTCCAGAGTTTTTACAATGTTTAACAATTTTGACAATTTCACAGCACACTAATTTATGATCATGTAACTAAATATTTCAATGTGTTGGGTGCCCTACAATGAACTACGAATTGTTTTTCACTAAAGAATGACTGGCTAGTGACTATGTTATTACTTTTAGTGACCAAATATCAATTTCGGTCACAAAATGTTCTTTAGGCTGTGGTAGGAATACAAGAAACAGTTTAGTCAGCCTCTTGCACATCTACAATTTAATAAGAACATAATTATTTTCAGATTATTCAATAGCTGGCATTACAGTATTAGCTAATGAAATAAAGGACAGCATTTCCAGTGAATATACTATATCCATGGAAGATAAATCATTTTAACAATATATTTTAGCAAAGGTTTTCTTCACTAGAAGTGGGAATACTAGTGAAAATATAACTGTACAATGGGAAATTGACCACTACAAGAGTTTGCACAAGCCCCATAACTTTGAGAAATTATAAATTTCATTAACTAAACAAAGTAATAGCTGAGACCATAAAATATGCATTAAGAACAGAGAACACATTATAACTACAAAACTTGGTGCTCAAATCAAACTATGTTTACTAGTAATGTTCGGTTCACAGCTGGATCAGTATACTGGCACCTCTGTAATTTAATTTCTGCCAATTGAACTTTTAACACCATAAAAATTGCCATATTAATAGGATCAAAAGTACCTCAAGACTGCAGTTAAAACACATGAGCATTAGCACCTAGAGCCTTAGAAGGTAATTCCGAGTCCTTGATATTGAGTAGATATATCACTGTTACAGCGAACATGAGATTTACTATGGGCTCTGCACATCTTCAAAGTATTTGCCATTACAACTCAAAATCTCTTTCAACAATGAGGCCTTAGAGAGGTTGAGCTTGTGAGTGTACAGACTTTCACAAATTTATTTGAATACATGACTTGTTACATACAGTATATCACATACGAGTTTAGGGACCAAGCTGTGACGAAATGGAACAATCATGTTGTATGACACTGTAGTAACCAAGAAAATAGACTTTTCCATCAATGTAGCTCCAAATCATATTGGAACTTTCCTGATGTACTGGACAACACTGCCTGTAGAGGGCCATCATTGATTTGGCAGGTGATAAATAGGTGGTAGGTAATAAGGCAGGTACTAAAAGGTATTTGGGTACTAGAAGATATCTGGGCATCTGGACCAATCCTGACGTTCCTTGCAGTCCCAGTACTCGTGGGTGTATCTAAAGATAAGTGCTCCGGTTGCTTCATCAGTTTCCTTTCTGAACCATGTTGGACTATAAGCTGGATAATCTCGGCCTGTTAAGTAAAAATCAACATTAAAAAATAAAACAAAAAACTTTCATTAAAGTAAATAGCATGAAATAATATCAAACCCAACAAATTCATTTGTGGTATTATAAAGTTATGGTATGGCTTTAAACCAAGATGTTTTAAGTGTCAAACTCAAACCACATGTTGAATAACATTCTATGGAATCAACAAAGGTAGCTCAAATTTACCTAATAAGAATCTTTACATAGATGTACCTTAACCCTTTGACTGTGGCACTTCTGTTTTGGCCTCATACTGTACTGCACTTGTCTGATATATAAATAGATTATCTAATAATAGGTAACATTTTTATATAGATGATTTTTAAATCCTGAAATCCATGATATACATACATGAATAAATAGGACAAATGGAGTCTCACCTTCAGCAGTTGCCTGTTCTGCTTCTGCTTCTCGTTTGCGCCGAGTTGCTCGCTGTTTCTCTTCTAATCTAAGTTTCTCCAAGTTTGCTTCTTCCCATCTACCTTCTTCCATTAACCTTTGGTCAGGTCTGTTCCGAGAATCTGAAGGGGCCACATTTTCCTCTGGCTCATTCAGCTGGCATGCCAGCTCAGTAAAGTTATAGTATCTTTCTGCTTCAGGACTGAAAATTCCAAATTCATAGAGATATTGTGAAATGCTTCAAATGTAGAGTATGGAATATACATGGTCATGATCTGCTCTCTCTGATTATAATGACTTGGAATGTGAAAGACAATTAATTAGAACTGAAATATTATTGGATTATAGTGATAATATTTTATTAGAAATACAAGTTGTGTTATGCATTATACAATATTTTACAGTTTACGTGCTATTTTTACATACTATTAATTAACTTAAGAGTATAGCAAGCTTGACCTGTATGTACAAAAACAAGCACGAACACTTACTCAACTGCATTCCTTTTCCAGAGAACTTTAGGAGGACCAGTTTCATATACTGGCTTGCCAGCCCTCATAGACTGAGAAGTTACACGACATGCTTCAATCTTCTCATCCCACATGCCCGTTATGAACCATTTAAAAGTACCATCACTGTCTACTACATAACCAGTAACCTGCAAGAGACAGAAAAATTATTATTTAAAAAATTACCATGTTTCACTTCCCATATCACATGTAATTTATTAAAGAAATTTAAATATGCATTATATTTAAGTATGGTGTGATCACATGAGGACACCTGCAAAAGGTACCCAGGTATAGGAGAAAGGGAGGAGAGGGTAAGGTCAAGGAGGGGAGCAATAAGATTGTATTGCAGTATAAACAAGGCAATGTGTCAGGTGTCATTAGCTATCTGTATATACATAGAGTAAGTAATCTTACCTGTGAGATGACTATCCCATGGAGTAAATTAACTGTTCTGGTTTAAATTAATCTGTTTTGTCCAGATAATTTATTAGTCATACTGGGATCCAATTTAAGTACATCCTACCAGAGGTACAGACAAACCACCCCACACATACCTTTGTTATTTATGTATGAGTTGCCTCAATATTGTTTGTGTGTTTTAAAGGCATTCTGGTTCCTCATATCTTTCAACTTTTTTTAAAACATGTAATGTTTTCAGTGTTAGCTAAGAACTGTAAACATGTTGTCAGAGGCTGTGTTTATGTGATCAACCAACAAAATATTACAATTTTGACTTTGCAGGCACGACTTAATAGGCATCTCATATCTCAGTACTGGATCATAATCCATACCTTGAAGACCCATGCAGTATTCTATACAGTACAGTATATGAAAACCAAGTACTTTATCGATCTTTCGAGCATATGGCTTGGTAGTTGGCTAGGTCAAAAAAATGCATCGAGTAATATTACAGTATCATCATACCAAAGATCAAACTTTAGACTATTTTGCAGCAAGTGGATTTATAAAAAAAAATACAAATGTGAGGATGCTTGTGTTACTACTGTAATCAGATATAAACATTGATAAGAGCATATGGAAACACTGTATATTACACCCTGCAATCTACAGTTTTACACAAAATAAGAGTAGGGATTAAATTAGCAGTACAGTACCTTCTTTGGAGTTTCTCGAGAAAAATAAGAATAAGGAATGAACTTAAGGCAACACTTGTCTCCAGTTTTGTGGTTAATAATCTCCATTTCTCCGTGGTTGTCTAACCACAACTTCCCAACAATCATATTGTGAACAGTTGTGGACACCTTCCTCCAAGTGTAGTGATTACCTGTAAAAAAAAATAATAAATAAAAACATCATTAATGAGTACTAATGAAATCTCATTTCAAGCCAAAGCACTTAGTTACTCCTTTGGGAAAGGTTCTGCTATTCTCATTGACAGGGCTGTATACTGTCCTGTCTAAAGAACTGTCTAAAGAACACAATAAAGAAGCCATCACAACTGCAAGAAAAATGACACGTAGGATAACAAGAACCTTTCACACTAGAGATGCTATACCGATGATGATACTTTTCAAGGCGATAGTGCTCTTTAGAGAAGAATACTGCTGCACAATGACAGCCCCTTTCAAAGCTGGAGAAATTGCTCACCGGGAGAGCTTGCAGAGATCCTTTACTGCTAGAATCCCCTCAGTAAAACATCTAAACTATTGGGACTGATTAATGAGCCTAAATCTGTATTCTCTTGAGAGAGATGCATAATAATTTACACATGGAAAATAGTAGAAGCACTGGTCCCAAACCTGCACACAGAAATAACATCACATGAGACCAGAAGACATGGCAGGATGTGCAGAATACCCCCCATTGAAGAGCAGAGGTGCAATAGGTACTCAGAGAGAACTATCAACATCAGAGGCCCGAGACTGTTCAACACGCTTCCACTACACATAAGGGGCATAACTGGCAAACCCCTCACAGTGTTCAAGAGAGAACTTCATGAACACCTCCAAAGGATACCTGATCAACCAGACTGTGACTCATACATCAGGCTGCGAGCAGCTGCATCCAACAGCCTGTGTTGACCAGTCCAGCAACCAGGAGATCTGGTCGACAACCGAGCTGCGGGGTCGCTAAGTCCTAAAAAGACTTCAAGGTAACCTTAGGGTAAGGTAACTGTCGCAGACAGAGCAGGACGGGAGTAGGAGTGTAGGAGGGGAGGGGGCGTGAGCCAGCGTGCATGTAGGAGGAGAGGGGGCATGAGCCAGCGTGCATGTAGGAGGGGAGGGGCATGAGCCAGCGTGCATGTAGGAGGGGTGGGGCATGAGCCAGCGTGCATGTAGGAGGGGAGGGGCATGAGCCAGCGTGCATGTAGGCGGGGAGGGGCATGAGCCAGCGTGCATGTAGGAGGGGAGGGGCATGAGCCAGCGTGCATGTAGGAGGGGAGGGGCATGAGCCAGCGTGCATGTAGGAGGGGAGGGGCATGAGCCAGCGTGCATGTAGGAGGGGAGGGGCATGAGCCAGCGTGCATGTAGGAGGGGAGGGGCATGAGCCAGCATGCGTGTAGGAGGGGAGGGGCATGAGTCAGCATGCGTGTAGGAGGGGAGGGGCATGAGCCAGCATGCGTGTAGGAGGGGAGGGGCATGAGCCAGCATGCATGTAGGAGGGGAGGGGCATGAGCCAGCATGCGTGTAGGAGGGGAGGGGCATGAGCCAGCATGCGTGTAGGAGGGGAAGGGGTGTGAGCTGTCTACTAACACACTTGACACCCCACAAATGTGGATTTGCAGTGAGAATGAAAGCCCGCGCCTGAGACACCAGAGAACACACTACAAATAGACATATCATAATGGTTGATGTAAGAAGGAACTTCCCGGGAGAAAGTAACAAGGAATCATGAAAGTAAGGAAAAACCAATGAGAATATCCACTGATGAGACACGATCAAATAAAAACAAAAGAAAATAACTTTGGCAACCCAGTCAGTTACAGAGTGTAGAGGAAAGCAATGATTGTATTCATACCTCTACTAATAGCATGAGCCCACTGCACAGTGAGAGATCTAACTATACAACACAAGTCACTTGAATGCTTAAAATATTTTGGTCTTTGCCAGCCTGATATACATTTGGGAGCAGTCAAGAGGAATGGAAAGTTGGCAGAATTAGGGTATCCATGTAGGCACTGCCAGTGGTTAGGGAAAGACAACAATAATAATCAGTGATTACTGAGAGCATTCCTGAGTGGTATCTTGGATGTTAAATCGTGCTTAGAAGGACTTCAACTCTAGTTAAATGAGCATTCTTAAGGCCATTTCCTTTTATATCGAGTATTCTTAAGCTTAACTAGCACCAGAATGATCCGAGAAGGATGTTGTAAATGATTTACCAGCATGCTACACCATATAACTTTACCAATGTGCTTTTATTCATCCAACATGTTTCATGTGTTTATTGACATACTGTACTATACAGTAGCAACATGTGGAGACTTTTATAAATAAACAATACTGTAGTGACAAACCTTGTTTATTTCTATACCCAGACAAGACAATTACTCTTGTTTATCAAGCATAATTACCTCAACATGCATTCCATTTATCTACAATATATGATGTTACAATATACAATATAGTCTCATTATTTGATTATTACAGTAATTACAATACTGTACAATATTACATCATATGATAATTACAGTACAAGTTACAATATTCTATATTCTATAATATACAATATATTCTCAAGCAAAATAATTAATTTTACTTTCACTTTCTAATACTTGGAGTAGGGGTGTTGATATGAGGGCCCATCTAATGCCAGTCTTTACTGATGTTAGGCAAAACCATCCAGGGCAACATGAACAAATAATGAAACTATAAAGCAAAAGTAATACTGTACATCAATTTTTTAATTTTTTATATTTATTGTGATGGGTGACATTAACAAGATATTGTAACTGGTAAATTGCAAAAATCTACATAAACTGATTACCAATGACATGTAAGTGGAGTATTCCAAATCTTCTCATCAAACACACTGTTTTCAGGACACGAGGCAAGAAAGTGAAAGCTACACACTCACCGCTGTGATCAAAATGGAGATGTGCGATGCCGAGGGGGATGATCTGGAGATACTTGCCACGGAATTTAGATGACATGGAGAACTCCTGCCAGCTTCTCCAACCACTACAGCCTTCCACATATTGCGCCACAATGGGCGGATGATGAGACACCTATCAACAAAAAATACCCATTTAGCATTTTATATCTATATAAAAAGTAACAAAAATTAAGAATAAATTGTTAAAATAACAATGAATGTAAATG